TATTTTGCTTATTGGAAATATTAAATTTAATCTGTTAGCTTGGAATTAAAACTAAAATAAAAGCTTCAAGAAAGATTTTTCCTTTTTAAAATGCATTTTAAACCTTAGGTAACACAATTCTGTGGAGGTATCTATATATTTCATTACTTGGATAACACTGTTATGTCATCACTTGGATAACATTGTTATTTCATTACTTGAGTAACATCATTATGCCATTACTTGGATAACCTTGTTATGTCATTACTTGGATAACATAATTATGCCATGATTTGGATAACATCTTTGTCATGACTTGGAGTTATGTCTTTTGTGGAGTTGAATCAACCCATAACAACAAAAAAGGCAAAAATATGTTTAAATATAAAAATATAAGATATTTTATTTTCATGTTTTTTATAACTAAATTTTTCATAGTGTTAAAGTTCTTACAGTCCTTGTTTGTAGTTGTTTGTTAAGATGAAAAGAAATGTGATTTCTTCATGTGTATGTGAATAAGAAGAGGCAAAGGAAAAAGTGAGGAGGAAAGTGTAAGTGTCACATAACTTGGTGAGGAAAACCAGTGAATGAGTAAGGGAATTTCTTTTAAGCTGAACCTTGTTGCTCCTTACTCCTTTGTCTGTTTAGAAACTTTGCTTAAATACCCTTTAAAGAGATCATAAAACATAGTTTTTATTGTCAGCAGAACTTGAAACATTGGTTGAAAAATGTTAAATATTTATTTTCAAAGCATTAATTTATTAACCAGAAGAATGTATGATCCTCCAACTCAGAAACCATTTTATTTTGTCATTTTGTACTTGGCTGTCTTACTATTTATTTCTGTCTTTGCTCCACAATCTCATTACTTGGATAACATTGTTTTTTCATTACTTGGATAGCATCATTAAATCATTACTTGGATAACATTGTTATTATTGCTTATTTAAGATTACACAGAGAAACATTTCTATGCCATTGCTTCGAAGACATTATGTCTCTGACTTTGAATTATACATCAAAATTAGTTGACAAGTGAGAACAAAACACTATTCTTATAATTAAACTGTTTAATAAATAAATAATTTTTAACATCTTTTGTTAATTCTCAAGAAAAAAGTATAAGTCCAGATGCTCGAAAATTATTTTGGTGAATTTATGTGGTGAACAAATGAAAGACATACTTAGAAAATTATTTTTTTCAAAATTTATAATTATGTTTGCTCGTCATTATGTGTTTATTAAAATTTTCTTGTTCTCTTGTTCATATATTTTTTAAAAGTTATGAATAAAAAATTTTCATACTTATTTATTTATTTATAATATGGTAAATAATAAATATTGTATTATAGTTGGTTCACATATTTTTATAAATTTGTAAATGTGTATAAACAGAGCATAAAATCCAGGCAAAGTTTGATAAATTTGCCAAATTGGAAAACTGTTTTATGACTTGATTATGTGTTTCACCATTATTAAATTATGAAACAAGAGAACTGAAAAGAAAAGAAAACAGAATAGATTATGGCGGCATATCCGGGGCATGGCCTGCTGTCTTTGGTCAGTGTTGACCCTGGTATCAAAGAACTAGCCATCAGCCTACACTCATCAATCTTTGGTGACGTTTGACGCAGCAGCTGGTTTTAAGTTGACCTCTTCAACTATGACCTCTTTTACCCACATTGTGATTTTTGATCTTAAAAGAGTCAAGCTGAATTATCACTGTGGCATCTCAACCAAGCTAAACCAAGGAGTTGAATATGCGCACACAAAATTGAAAATAAAATAAACGACGCCTGAATAAGTCACTAGATGATATTTATATATGAAAATAAAAAAAAATATTTACAGTTCTTTTTTTTTTTTTCTTCTTTTCCCAACTTGTTTCTAATATTTGGCGATGGAACAAAAATTTTGGCTAACTTCTCTAAGGGTGGCCAGACTTGACAACTAGATTTATCTTCAAGTATTGTTGTTTGTACTTTCCAGAATGGCACAAGGTTATCATCAGAGTTTTTTCTTCTTCAGTGGATAATTATTATTATTATTATTATCATTAGGTTGTATGGCAGAAATCTCTTAACTCCCCGTTTGCAACTTCAACTCCAACTACTCCAACTAACTTTAGCCCCCATAGGCACTTGTATTTATGGATGTCCTTTCCAACTGGTGTGGTGTTGGCAAATAGGTGGGTTTTATGCAAATCTCCTAAAATTCAACCAGTCTCCGTTTCTCATTTTCTGTTTCACACTTCTAATTTTGGAAGATCCCCTTCTCTTTCAGCCTTCCTGGCGTCATCTTCTGCCTTCATAATTACTCATTCTGTTTTCACAATTATAATTTTTTCTCAGGGAAATTTTGGCTGACAATTTTCTCAGAATGTATACAGCAGATATCTTTCAACAGACGACCTTAACCTTTGGCCCCTGACCCTGCACCTGTTCACTGTCTCTCGTCAGGCAGCAACCATATCATTCTGCATATTTTTTTCAACAAAATTCATACATCTGTTCCCAATGCCATGGGAAAATAAGTCTCTTCTGACAAAAAATAAAATCATTTTCTTTAACCCTTTTCATCCATACACCATGTTAAATATTGTTACAAATTAAAATAACAGCTTTTATACAAAAGTCTCACAATTTTGTTCTTTCATCCCAAACAAGGGACACCAGCTTAGCGGAAAAAGTATTAACAATTAATATTAAGGTACACACACACACAAACATACATATATATTTCTTTCATTCTGATCTGAGGAAGCTGATCTAACAATGACAAAAGGCATAATCAAGTTAATAAAACAGTTTGAAAATTTGTTAAATTTATCAAGCTTGTAAATATAAAGTTATTCTTGTAAATAAAAATTCTTTCATTGTCAATTCTTAAAAAGAAAGAGGATCATAAATCCAGTTTCATATGTTTGTAATTTTAATAAATAAAATAACCTTTTAAAACAACAAAAATTGCCGAGGGAGTATACAGCAACAGTGGTGTCAAGAGAAAACTCTACTAAAATCCCTAATCCTTCCTACACATTCTAAAAATACTTATCTACAGGGAGCAATGAATAAATTGTTAGCTAAATTACATGAAAATGAAAATAACACTGACATCTCATTTTAACAGATATATTTATCAAAATTAAACAAAAATATCTTGAAATACTAAGGAGCAAATTTATTCAATAGAATCGCCATTGGCTTCAACTATGGCCTGCAGACGACTTCGGAATCTGCTCCTACTCTTCTGGAAGGTCTCTTTGATTACGTTAGTGAATGCTGCCATAATGCTTGCCTTCAGTTCATCTTTGATGTTAGAAGGGGTTTTGTTGATCTCTTGCTCAATTGCACCCCACACATAATAATCAAAGAGGTTGCAGTCTGGGTAATTAGGTGGCCAAATGTAAGGGGTGATTTGGTCGCAGAAATTGTCTGACAGCCATGACTGAGTTCTCCTGCTTGTGTGGCATAGTGCAGAGTCATGTTGCCAGACGTAGTGTCTTCCAGCAGCCATTCTCTTAACCCAGCAACAAATTCGGGAGTTCTTTTCTCATCAGAATGCTCAGAATGAGTTTTCCAAGCTGCCGTACCATCATAATCACCATTAGACTCATCCACCTCTTTCTAAATCATCTGCACTGTCCTCAGAGCAACACCCAATCACTCTGAAATGTTTGTATTGGAGCTTCCAGCACAAATGCCAAGCAGTACAGCATGCAGTTTCCAAATTTCTGGCAGAGTGATTTTTGTCTTGGCGCTCTTTCTCTCACAGACAATGCCCAAATGACCCTACTATACTGAGGAGTTGACAAAGTAAAAAAAAAACAATACACATAAATGAAATTAAAAATTATAATATGGTGACAATTTACCCATCACACCTTGTATATATTTCTGTCTCTCACAATGACCAGGTGTTCTCTCATGAAGGCCCTTTGCTTTGAATGCCTATTGGGACTCAAGCCCAACCCAAACCTCAAGTAGAACTCAAATATATAATCCATGAAGTTTTAGTAATAAAAAGGAATAAGAAAAAAAGAGAGAACAGGATACAAATAAGCAATGCATAAAAAAGAACAAAGCAGGGAAGGAGGCAGTGGAACGATATCGAATTGGTGGAGGTTGGGCATAATTAAGAAAATTTCATGTTTTTAGCAAGAGTGAGTGAATTTAAAGATAACATTACAATTTGTGATTTGAGATAGTTAGCAACTTCAAAGGATATCAAGCAGTAATCTTTGTTCAGTTGATATATTGGTCCAGGGCCTGGAGAACCAAGAAGGGGACTGTGAATCTCTCAAAGGCCCATAAAAATTATAATTAATTAGATAAATAAATCTCCAACTTCTTTCCTGAGTTTTGTATTCTAACTTAATAAAATAGAATTGTTTTTAAAAAGAGCAATACCAAATTTAAAATACAAGGAACAAATAATCACTCAATTTGTGAAGGAACAAAGCAGTGTTAAACAGATGTGAAAAAGAGTGGAGTGGGGGATGGTTTTATTTCTTTGTTATGAAAATTAAATGATAGTTGTGGGTGGGTCTTCTTTATCTCCTCGTAACCAATATTTTTAAACCCAGTCTACCACTGCTATTGGGTAATGTATAACATCTTTCAATTTTCTTCTCAACAAGAGTTTAACTATAATCTTAAATTCTAAAAATCTACATACAAAACTTGTTAAACACCATATTACCCAATATATAAGAAACTGTTAGACATATTTGTGATCATAAGAAATTTTTTCTTTTTTTTTTGATTGATTGGTTTTATTTGCTAGTTATTTAAAGCCAGAAAATATTTTTAGATTGTAAGAATTCTGGTGGATATATAATAATTGTTTAGTGATAAAGTCTTACTAATTAACCCATAGATGAGGGGAGAAGAGGTGGATTCATACTTTTCTCAAGGTGAATTTGTGTGCAAGTGAATATAACAAACCCAACTGAAATTGAAACACAGATGTCTGATTAACAATTCCAAGCCATTATCCATTACACCAGCTGCACATCCAAGCTTACAGCACCTGGTATTCCCAAGTGGTCACCCATATAAGTATTGAATAGGCTTGACATTGCTTAACTTTGGTGATTGTATGGGAACTGGTGTTTCAACATGATATGGTCATAAGCCTCTAAGAAATTTGGATATTCGATTAAAGACTCAGGGTCTAATGATAAATTATTTAGTATTTCATGACCACTTTCCTGACAGTAAGATGATCAAATTTTAAATCTAAATTGTTTGTTCATTTAAAATACAACTTTTATTCAAAAATAAGATATATTTAGTTTAAATACAGAATTCATAAAAATAAATTCAAAATGTCACACATTTCAGTTTATATTCTATTCCTGTTATTCAGGGGTTGTTTCCCTACACACAGGGGATTTAGCTCTTGTGACAAAGATGGCCATATCAATTTCATTCAAACTCTGTATGTATGGTAATTTTTAAGTGTAGGTTAGATGTGGCACAAAGCCAAAAGTATGGGTCACCTAGTGAGGATCAACCCAGTTGTAATTGTTCTAGCAAGACAAGCTTGCTAACTATTACACTATGTCGAGGTGCCCCTTTTCTAAGTTGAGCTTAGACGTGGCACAAGGCTGAAAGTATGGAGCATCTAGTGAGGATCGAACTCACTACTTAGTCATAATTGTTACAGCAAGACAAGCTGGTTAACCATTTCATCACACCAAGATGCCTCTTTCCTAAGTGTAGCTTAGATGTGACACAAGGCCAAAAGTATAAGGCACCCAGTGAGGATCAAACTCACTATTCAGTCGTAATTGTTCTAGAAAGACAAGCTTGCTAACCATTACACCAGGTGCTCAAATTGTATGTATATATGACCGAAACATTACCACTCTAAGTAGTTGCTGCGGTTTCTGTAGCAATTACCTTTTTTATTGGGTGGAATTGCCAGTTCTACACTGAAACTGTTTTGACTTCAAAATTGTTGTTCTCCTTGACTGGTTGCCAGTCAAGGGTAGAGAGCCCAATCTGTCCTGCTATTAATACCTAGCTGGGGGAAAAGAGATAGATTCATACTTTTCCAAGGGTATTTGTGTAGAAGTAAACAAAACAGCCTTAACTGGAATTGAACTTTAAACTCCATTCCCAATTTTGATGCCAATAACCAATATGCCATGCATACATCCACAATCATTGCATTTTGGTTAATACTATATTTCTACATATTTATCACATTGTTTCAGCCTTCCTAAAGGTCATCCATGTTTAGTCCTTATTTCAAGGGATAAGTCATTATTGTTACTATGCTTAAATCTGTTTTCAGTAGTATGGTAAGGTATTATTTTATTTCATTGGGTATGAAAATAAAGTTTGTAGATATAGATTTTGAAATGTTTCAACAAGAGACGTGCATTTCTTAAGTAGAATAACTGAACCTTGATTTGCTCTAATGCCTTCTCATAGATTAATGGTAAAGCATGCCTGGCTTGAAGGTAGTTACTCAGATTAAAAAGGGAATACAGGCTTGAATCTTATCTGGATTTTTCCTCTCTATGAAGATAAATATTAATTTTACTGTTTAAAAACACCAAAACATAAGCCCTACTCAATATTCAAACATGTATACACATTAAATATATATATATATATATATATATATATATATATATATATATATATATATATATATATATATTTTTGTAGGTATTTTTATATCATATTAAAACAATATTAAATAATAAAAAAAAAAAAAAACTCAACAACAAGAGGTGGGGGAAGCAACCAGTTTGGCTCCCACCTATTCTGATTGTACTTTCTCTTTTTAATTTTGAATCTCCCTGAAGCCTGATGGCGGGAGCAAAACCGTTTTCCCCCTGTTGTTGAGTGTTTTTGTTTTGTTTTTTTTTTATTATTTAATATTGTTTTAATATGGTAATATTAAATTTTAATATATATATATATATATATATATATATATATATATATATATATATATATTGGATTTAAGCAATTTTTCATTGATGCATGTTTCATTAAATTCATTTATTTTAAGTAGATTCCTTTCATATTTTCTGATAAAGCTTAATAACATTATCATTGAAAGATGAAAACAACATGTCTAAGCTTTCATAAAATATATCAGTAAAAATCAGATTTATTTAAAAACAGCTTGACACTTATATATATATATATATATATATATATATATATATATATATATATATATATATATATATATAAAAATTTCCTGAGGAAATAAAATATATTCTACGGACCAGGTTGTCTGATTTTTTAATTTAACTAATATTTGCTCTGTTTTTACATTGAGCTCTCTGGATTACATCCTTCTTGGGATTATCCATACGGATTACCCAACATTTCATTACCTAACTATATATATATATATATATATATATTATGAAATATGAAATGGATTAAGTCTAAAAATTATCTAATATATTTTCTGTTTATACGTTATTTTTATAGATATAATTTATTCAAGTAATTTATTTAAGTTATGCTCTGTTTTTAATTAAACAGTATTAATTACATTTATTGGTCAGAATATATGAAAAATTACTACTATATATATATATTTATTATTACTGCTATATATTTATTATTACTACTATATATATATATATATATATATATATATATATATTATTACTATTATATATATATGCATTATTACTATTATATATATATATATATATATATATATATATATCTATTATTACATATATATATATGTACACACACACATTATATGTGTGTGTGTGTGTGTAGATATATATTTGTAAAAAATTACTTAACTTTTAAATATCAATTTTATCCCAACTACGAAGTTTCTTGGTAAAATTCTCAGTGTTCAGAGGGTTCAGGTTTTAAATGCTATTTCCAACTTTTTTCAATTTTTCCATTTATTTTATATCTTTTACAATTCGCTTTTTTACTCCATTTTGTACACATGTGTATTCATGAATGTGCATGGGAAAAAGAACATTAAATTCATGAATACGAACATGTATAAAACAGAGTAAAAAATCAGATTGAAAAAGACACAAAACAAATGGAAAAAACTGAAAAAAAATTGGAAATATCATTTAAAACCAGAACCCCTTGAAGACTGGAAATTTTATCAGGAAACTTCAAAGTCGGGATAAAAGTGATATTTAAAATTTAAATAATCTTTTCATATAGTATTATTAATGCTCTATTTTTAATATTATTTTAATATTTCTAATAGTGAGCATTATATATATAAAATATCTGCCATTTCTTAAATCTCATACATATATATATCTTCTGCTGTCACAGTGTGAGATATTTAATAACAAAGATGATGGAAACAAATATATATATATATATATATATATATATATATATATATATTAGTAATATTAAATATATATTTATATAATAGTTTTATCCATTTATATACATATATATATATATATATATATATATATATGTCAATGGAGTATTTTTTTTTTAAAAAGGCAATAAAGGCACAAGTAATTATTGAGTGTGATAGAATATGAGGAAAAGAAAACATTATTAAGGAGAGAGAATAATAAAAGAACAGGAATTAAGAAGACAAAAGGTTAATGACTGACATTTCATTGAAGTTTTTGAAGATCAAAGTTGACTGGAAAGCAAGAAACTGAAAGAGAGTTCTACAAGCTAAAAATACAAGAAAAGAAACTGTTAGCATAGAACTTAAGGTTAAATCTATCCATTTCAAATATAAAATGAGGAAACCTTGCCACCGATCTTGTACTGTGCTTAAATTCATAAAATCTAGGTACCATAGAAGTTTTTCAGGAGAATTACCATGAAAATATTTATAGAAAAGTCACAGTTAAGATATGTTATGTACTGTTGACCCCCTATATGTCAAAAATTGTGAGAGAGCCCATCTTATTTATATTTAAATAGGATGGTTAACACTTAGATGTATACATGAAATAAGCTTTGGTTTACAGGTCTGCAAAAAAGTAAGGGGAATTTTGGAGTCCTTATCAGATATGAACATGCATTTAGCTGACTAAACTGACTATACCACAGATGCCAGTTAATGGAGCTTAATTAGAAGCATGCTTATTAAGAATTAAAAATTTATATAACTGACCAAATATATTTCTAACCCTGGCTCTTGGGCTAAAGTCGGCTGATCGAATGATCAATATCTTTGCCAGATGAACAAAGATAGCTGTTCAAAGAGATGCACTTGTTGAATCTGTTAGTGTCATTCCATGATTACAGCTTTGAGTTTCAAGTTAACATGTCTAAGGTTTCATCTTGAAATCTAGATCTATTTAGAAGATAAACTGATTTTAAGCTAAGGTAATTTTATTTTTATTAAATATTCATTCAATAGAAAACCCAAGAGCCACTCAAGGCAGATGGTTACTAAATAATGATGTTATATAGATGTAGGTGGGGTAAGTGCAGATTATAAAGATATATAGGGTAGGTAACCTAGACTCGAAGAAGTTTAAGTTTGTAGTGTTCAGAGAAGCATCTTCTTGGATGTTTGTTCCATTAAGTAGCAGCTCATGGGAAGAAGCTGTCCAAATGGAACTTCCTTCTTACAATGGCATACAAATGTTGTGAAGAAAATTTGCCTATGTATATATGGCATAGCAGGTCTTATCTATAAATTTCTGAACTGGTGGAACTAGGGAATTTGTAAAATATACAATGTCCTGAAATTATTAACCTAGTTCTAATGAAAGATAATTAATTTTCTTGTTAAAAGTGGATTTAGGAAGAAGAAGACTGGCTGATTTGAGGAAATGAGATATTAAAAAACAAGTTCAAAGCAACTATAAGTGTCTAGATGTGGGGTAATGTTTAGCGAGGTTCATTTGGATGATCGTGAATAGTAATTTTTCTCATTACTGGGTGCTCTATAGAAAATTTGACATAAGATAATCAAACAAGGGTTGACATATGATACCAGAACAAATATACTTGTTTTAAGACTTGAACCAAAGAAGGTTTGTTTAAGAGATGAGATTCAGCATTCATTCTGTCAGATAAATATTTAAAATCCATGGATATCGGGAATTTTAAAAATTCAATCGCTGTAGAAGACCAGAATCCCAAGATACTGTATTAAAAAAATATGAAAGAAAAGAATCAGTACCTTTACCAGTTGAACTGCAATATGATAGCCTTCTAAAAATTTGCTTTTGAGTAATGCTTATTTTAAAAATATAAACGTTATAACAGTGTGCTATAGTGATATGAATATACTTCTTGAGGTGGATATATTTATCTGTTTCAAGGCATGAACTTTGTATTTTAAAAAGTAAGGACGTGTTTGCTAGATGAGCTGCTTACTGAGATTTTTAAATGAAGCAGACGACTGAGTCTAGAGTAGCGGCCCTTTGTTGAGACCAGAGGCCATTTAAAAGCTAATGTTGAATGGCACACACTACGACTAATGTCTGGGATTCTCTTTTCTCTGAATTGTCTGCCGCCCGTTCCCTGTTTGTTGTGGCCGTCGTCTTAAAAATCCCACTACTTTGCTTCCAGTGGTGATTATCATAATAATGTCTTCGTCGTCAGGCCATAACAAAGCTATAGGACACTCGACCAGTGTTACGTACGACATTTTCGTTGGAAATCTACCCGCCGATGCTAACGAGGTGAAGAAAAAAAAAGAAAGAAATATTTCTTTCTTTCTTTTACTTGTTTATTTTTCTTTCATTCAAAATGTGATAATATTAGAACTCTTCATTAAAAAATGAATAATGTAAAAAAAAAAAAAAAAAAAAAATTCAGAAAATAGCACATCATTGACATCATTTTATTTTACTATAGATAAGAAAGTAAAAATAAATGTTTATTTTGTTGCATGTGGAATTAAGTGATAATAATTTATACTAATAAAATAGTCTTGTTTATTTTGTAATTAAAATAATAGTTACCTTAAATTAAGAAAAAAAAAAGGCAGATAAATATAACTATTTATTTTTATAGACGTGGGGGATTTTGGTAAACTATATTTAATAATAAGCACGTGTGTGGACATTTCTATTTAGGAATAAAAATACCTTTATTACCGTTTTCTCATTTTCTACTTTTATTAAATGATTATCTTTAAAATTTGCTATAAGTTTTGTTTAAAAATAACTTAAAATGATTTTTAAAATGCTTGTTTTTTTTTCTGTTTTATTGTTGATGTATTTATGATAACTTTAAAAAGAAACATGCATCGTAGAAAAGAGGGAATAGAATTAACAGGTCTGAAGACGAAAAAGAAATATACAAACAAGGCTCTTTCTTTAGAAATGAATAAGCTTTACTCATTAAGAATTTACAAAAGAATTTAAATTCGTCTTGTAATTAGTAAATTTATTAAATAATTCTTCTCCTACCCCACCTTGCAAAAAATATCAAGCTTGAAGAAGCCAGGGAAATAAATTCAAGAAAAATGTTTTGAATTGCATATTTTTAATTTCAACTTGTCCCCTACCTGAAAAATAATAGTATTTTTTTTTTTTATAAATGAATCTGTAATTTGACAATGAAACATTCCCCAGACAAAAAATAATGAAAACTCTTAAATATTAAAAAATACGCTATATATATATATATATATATATATAATATAGTACAGTGCACACACTAAGTTATATATAATTAAAACATGTGTAAAACAACGTCCTTTCTCCCTTTTTCTTTCACATTTTGTTCTCCTTCTCTTTCTCCAGAATATCAACATGGCGCGCCTTTTTCAATTCTCCAAATATCTTTCCCTTAAAATTGTAGTTTTCAAAGGGCAAAAACTTTAAAAATCGTCTTAAACATAATTTTGGGGGGGATTCAATCTCAGTGGAAATTCAGAATATATTTAAATTAATATATTGAATATTCTTTTTCCTCTCTCCATTTTCGTGAAATATATATAAGTGATAAGTCTTTTGACGCGGTTGGTGGCTAATATTGATATTTCAAAATTCGTACTCTTCGTTTGAGGTGATATTGTTTTTATTGTTGCTTATTTGATAAGAACTAACACAATTTCCTCATCCCCTGCCAATGTTTCCTTTTTCTGTTTTATTATTATTATTATTGAACCTTCCTTTTGGTAAAGGACGAATGAATGTATTTTACCCCCACGACGAAGAGAATAAAAACCCGATGTTTATTTTAAAATGACATTTTCTTCGCAATAATCCTTAGCACAGAATTTCTTATAATATAAACAAATTTTATACTTGAAATAATATTTGTTTTTTAACTGACAGAAACTGGTTTTTAAAAAGTTACAAGTAGAAAATGAATGTAAATTGTAAATATTCATATGACGGGCAAAATCCCTACAAAATTTTTCTTTCTGATCCATTTCCGCTTGTAATGATAAAAATTAAAAAAAAAAAAAACACATTAAAATTCACTCTTAGGTCAAACGACGGTGTCAGAAGTATTTCTGTTCAAAAACTACAGTCCGCATTTTCCTAAAAATTAGTCGTAGTTAGGATATTTTTGACAGTTTTTTGTACACAGAAAAATAATACCCTCACTTTTTTTCTCTCTCTCTCTCTCTCTCACAAAGTAAAGGGTTGTTTTAACTTGTTAAGCGATGCCATGATGTTCTTAAGGGTTAATGAAAAATTAAAGTGATTTTAAAATTTTATATAAGTAAAAGTTGTATATGCAAGCTACACATTTAGTTTGGATGTATTAAAAAAAAAAAACAATTAACTTATTCATAAGAAGAAGGGGAGGGGGAATTAATGATGAAACCAACAAAAAAAAAGTAACTGAAGTTGGTTTGGATAGCATTATGATTAACTTTTTCAAAACTATGTATTGGATGTGAAATTGAATTTAGGAAGTTTTACTTTAGAATTCAGATAGTGGTTTGTATGGTGAAGAGCTTTTATACCTACTCTCTGTTGGAAAACCTCATTGTCTAGAATTTGATAGCGAGTACAATATAAAAAACTGCAAGTAGACACTGGATCCAAATTGTGTGTGACATCCAATAATAATATAAACTAGTTAAATTTGGAAATTAACGAGTTTCATCTAAGTTTTCTTAAAAAAAATTTTTTATAGCTTTTTGGTATTTGTAGCAGGTAGGCATTATGCAATAGAACTCAGTGAAGAAGAGGTCCTAAGATTAGGAAGAAAAGGAGTAAAAATGTTTTAAATTTTTTTTTTTTTTTTTTTTTTTTTTTTTAACCAACTCTAATGAGTCTTCTATTATTTAGAGCTACGTAGGATAGGAAGTTGTGGAGTGCCACACTCGCCCACATTCTGAAAGGATATGACAAATAAAAAGAATTCTTATTGTGTGGAATCAAGTCTAATATCTTGCATTCACTTTCACACTGAGACTTTCTCAAAAGTGAATCCTCTCTTCTCTCTCCCAAACTATGGGTTAAATAGAAGGTTAGACTGGACTCTCTAGTTTTGGGTGTCAACTTGAACAAGTCTAAAAGAAAAGGAACTCTGAATTTTAAACTGGTGAAGACAATTGGAAACCACTGTATTCTCTTTCCAATAAGTCATGGCACTTCACAGATAATGAAGTGGAATCCATGGAGAGTAATGATTGCCTACTTTCTGAAAGGATATGACATTATTTACATGTAGACAATTGTCCTCATTTTTGTTGTTATCACAATGTTTTGGATGTAGTGTCCTCTGGCCTTTATCAAGTGCTTGTCAATCTGAGTATTTTCAGGGAATCTCAAACTGAATGTTTTCTTCAATGTAGAGGATAGACTGTTTATGTTCCAACAACCATATCTTGGAATATGTCTAGATCTTAGTACTGCTAAGTTATAGATCACTCCATTTCCACTGGAGATATTAATCTGCATGTAAATACCTCCCATAAATTCAGATTGATATTGTTTCTTTTTATGTAATCATATTTAGCTGAAAAAAAAAATAATAAAAATGCAATAGCCCCTGCCAGAGAGCACTGTGTAAATCAAATTCTCTATAAAGTAGTGATCCCCTACAAGGCTAAATTGCTAATTCTGCTCTGAGGTAACCTGGCATTTACTAAGCTTAGCTTAGTCTGGCACGAGGTCACAAGTAAGGGTTACCTAATCACAATAGAACACATTGTCGTAAGAATTGTTAGTTAAGCTCTACTTTATAGTGGCCTTACAGCGATATCACATTGAAACACCAGTTCTCGTACAATCTCTGATGTTAGACAACATCAAGTGTGGTCAGTACCTTGATGGGTGCCCTCTTGGAAATACCAGGTGCTGTCAGCTTGGATGTGTGGCTGGTGTAATGGATATCGGATCGGAATTGTTAATCGGATAGCAAAGTTTCAATTCAGTTGGGTTCATTGTATTCACATACCCTGGGGAAATGTATGAAGCCACCTTTTCTTCTCCAGCAATGTGTAGCACTTAATCATTATTACCCCCCACCCCAAAGAAAAATTCTTGTAATCTAAAAGTATTTTCTGGCTTTAAATAACCTTCAAATGGTTGATAAATCATAGAAAATAAGTGAATATTAAAACAAGTTTGGGATACCTAGTCACAATTGAACAGTCATAAGAGTTGCATTTTAACCTCAACTTTATAGTGAAGTGTCATATTTTAGCTTGGTTTGGCATAAAGCCAAAAGAGCGAGGCACCGAGTGAGGATTGAAGTCTATGTATAGCAATAATTGTCCTGCAAGACTGTTATGCTGAAAAATTTTTTAATGATAAAGAGCTTGCATCACTTTGTACTTTTCCCTATTCAGTCAAAAAAGTCATTTAAAATTCAAATTGTCTTTGACAATGATTACTTTTGCCTTAAAGAAATGAAGAAAGAAAAAAACTTAAATATTTTAAAAATGATAATTTTATAAATAACACTTGTGCGTCTTCAACTATATACTTGATATCACCTGATTATGCTGTCAGAAAGACTTGAAAAATTGTCTTCAATTTTGAAAATAATTGTGCTCTTGAATGTCTATTATGCTTTCTTATGAAAGGTGTTAATCAATTACAAAGTAATGATTTATTTTTTCTTTCTAAATAAATAAACTGCAAATTCTGTCTGTGTGTCTGATACCCATCTAACTCTGGCCACAGTTGCTCTACATAGACACATATCTTTTGGGGGTCAGGATGATTGAAAATCTGCTCATCATCTGGTAATTGAACATCCAATATTGGGATATGTGTCCAGATGAAGAGTTCAAAATTCAAATTTTAAAATAGCTGTCAAAGGATAGTGATTTTAAAAGTTTTTTTTAATTTATATTCAGTTTAAAGTAACACAAAAACTTTGAATATAAAAGTTTGTTTTAAATTCAGTTTAAAATATCCCAAACTTTGATTTGAGGAAAGCAGTTTTATTTCTTTTAAATACCAAGGAATCAGTTAAAGTGAGATTTTGAAGTTATCAGAGTTTGTGATTTGAAGAACTCAATTTTTGGTTTGAATTGGAATTTTGGACTAAATCAGACTTTCGTCCAGAATTGGACTTATAACCTGAATCAGAGTTAAAGTAAGGTTTTGAAGTTCCATTTTGAGGAATTCAAAGTTATTTCTTCAAAATTATCATTGCTATTTTCTAAGCTGGACCACAGGTCCCTTTAGGTTTTAAGCTATTATATAACTGAGATTGAATGTGTCTAAACTGAAAGATCGGGAAATAGAAGCTAGGCCTTTATGGAAAGGCTCACAGATAAATAGAGAAAGAATTAAATATTTGAAGACAGAAAATATTATATGACTTCTAAAAAGGGAGACTGGCAAGAAACTGATGATACATTATCACCACTTGAAGAATGATTGGAAAGCTTCAGGTTGAATGGCCTGATGGCCATGTCACCTTGAAACACCAGTTCTAATCTGCTCAGCTAAGTTAACCAATGTCAAGCTTGGTCAGTACCTAGATGGGTGACTACTTGGGAATACCAGATGCTGTAAACTTGGGTGTGCATCTGGTATAATGGATAACAGCTCAGAATTGGAAATCGGAGAGCCAAGCTTCAATTCCAGCTGGGTTCATTATATTCACTTATATGCAAATAGCCTTGGGAAAGGTATGAATCCACCACTTGCCCCCCAGCTATGGGTTAATTAGTAGGTGTATCACTAAATCATTATTTCCCAAAAATTCTTACAATCTAAAAATATTTTCTGGCTTTATTACCTGTAAATGGTTGATAGTCCATAACAAAATCAATCAATCAATTTCAAGTTAAATCACTTTACATGTCTGTTGTCTCCTTTTGTTTGGTTTGAGGGAAAATTCTCAGTTTCTAAATTTGATTTTAATGTTGCACAAGCTCCAAGAACTTTTTAACCAAATAAAATAAATGTATAGCCAGAAATTCCAGCAGTACTTGACAAATATATAAAGTTAGTTTTTATACTTGCAGGGTTTCTTAATCCCTCTAGTCATTAGGGATCTTCTGGCCAGAAGGTCATAAAACATATCAACTCTACATAGAGGTTTTAGTAAATTTTTCTGTCATGTTGGATTGTTGATGGACTCTCTAATTTGAACCCTGATAAAATTTATTGTTCATTGGAAACCCTGCAAAATGCAGAACCATTTTGTTGTTATTGCATTGTCTCTTTGAAGTCCCTTAAAATAAATGTCACAAACAAATCTTAAAACTGAACAACTTTTCAAGTGACAACAATTTAATCTGCTCCTCATTAAGATTTTATTGCATTCACTTATAGGCAAATACCTTTGGGAACGGTGCAAATCCATTTCTTCTCCCAGCTATGGGTTAAATAGTAAAGAAGGCTGTGCTTTCTAGCCATGGTTGATAACCAGTCTAGAAGAAGGAATTTAAAACTGGTTGGGCATGGAGCTAGTAACACTATCCCATAAAAATACAATTTGTTGTGGCCCCATAGTCCAGGGAATCTACAGGACTTAAGTGAGGGATATTACTACAGTTTGTTTTTCTTAGCTATGATTAGAAATTTCTATAGAAGACAATATTAGTTATTTTGGTAAATAAAATTATATTTATTAATCCCATTGGTACTAGTCATGAGTACATCCTGATTTGCAGGCACATTTGGACAGTTGGGACCCTAAAGGAGTAATGTATAAAGAATGACACTAATATAATGTGAGTCCTCAGCACCAGCTTTCTCTCTTTTTATTTTTTATATACGTATATACGCACACACACTTTCAAAAATAAACAAACAAATATACTATGTTGGGTGTAATAGAAAGGGAGGAAGATGATGTGAAGAAGTGTAAGGGAGAAGAGAAGAAAAGCAAAAATATTGTAAATGCATCAGGGGGGAGGGGGTAATTTTTTTTTTTTTTTTTTTTTATCCAGTCTCATATGCATTTAAGAAAAATTTTCTGATATGTAAGCAAGGGCTTAAGACTTCTGATTTTTGGTTTAAAAGGTTTTCGGGACCCAGAAATGTCATAATTACTAATTTTTCCTGTTGGCAGAGGTTAATATTGTTGTAATTGTTGTATGGTTTTGCCTTTTTAATTTTCCACCTTATCAACAGATCCCTGTTGTTGTTGTTTTTTTTTTCTTTTTTAAATTCCACAGATGGTTATCTAGTTTGGTAGAGTACCTAAGATTTGCTAGCTTAAAAGACAACCTATGATTGTACCATGTATGTTTTAAATAGTAATGACCAAAATAAATTATACATTGATAAGGTGGAAAATTTAAAAACCTTAAAACCATACAACAATCACTACCATATTTGCAACCTGCCAACAGGAAAAATTTACTATTATGACATTTCCAGATCCCAAAAACATTTTAAATCTGAAGTCTTAAGCCCTTGCTTACATGTCACAAAATTTTTCTTAAGTGCATATGAGGCTGGATAAAAAAAATGTAATAAAAAACGATGCATTTATAATACTCTTTTACACATATATTGAACACTTTTTAATACAACTGTTTCCTGGTCTGATTCAATTCTGACCATTAACCTTTTTTGTATGTTATGTATGTATCTAGCCAGCCAGCCAAAAGTGATACCTACGTTTTAAAATGCATTTTTAAAAATGAAATTATTTCCCCCCCCCCCCATTGAAGCTTTTATTTAAAGCTAAAAGATTAAATTTAATAATTCCAATAAGCAAAATACTTTACTGTATTTCAAATCAAATTTAAATTAATTGGCATGTTTTTGTTTCAGCCATATTAGTAAATCTGTCAAGACATGATTTGCTTTATTAAAAAATCTTTCAGAAATAAAATATTTTAAAACAAGTATTACTTTTAGTTTAAGATATCTTGGAAAAGCATTTTTTTAACAGTGGTGGGTGTTTCATGAGGTATTGACAATTTTTTTTGATAGACATGTCTAAGAATTTTTTTTTCTACTGAGGATGTAACTGTAAAAATTACTTGATGAATATTATGAGTGCCTTTCTAATATAATTTTTTAACTATTGAGTAATCTGTAGGAAATATTCTAGATTTAATATTTTATTGAATTTTAGGTACCTTAGCTTTTACTTTTTAGTCTTGATTATGAAGATGCTTGTTTACTTAATAACAATATCATCTCACTGCTAGAAATTAATACAGAATTTTAAAATTTAAAACATTATAAATTATTTTAATTAAATTTTTTTAAAAAATGTAGACAATTCTTACAAAAATTCATTGATCATCAAAAAACAAATTTTCTAGACAATAACATCCATAATATACCATTCATAAAAGCAATTAATAGCTTTTCTAATTATCATCTTAGTTTCATTGGATTTTTTATTTTACAATTCAGAGCAGATTTTCTGTAATTGAGGGTCTGAGTTTACAAAAACAAAATTGATGATTTAAATTCTCCAAGGACTTGTGCTTATAACTAATGTAAACATTAAAACATAAAAATGAATTTCTCAATGTCATAATATTAAATAAATGAGGGTAAAAAAAATTTACAAAAATTTTCTAACAAGAAAAAAAACATTTCTAGAATAAGTACTGAAAGTTTCCAAATCAATGTGTTTTTCACTGCAAAAGATACTAAAATTTCCTATACTAATTTATAGTCACCCACAGACACAAGAAAAATAAAATTTCAACCCAAACATAGGTTCTAAAAAGGATTTTTTTTTTTTTAATTGAAATTTTTTTTTTTTTATAGTGAATTTTTAGCTGTATATATGTATCTCCTCTCAAATTCAGATAGAAGATATATTTGTGTCGTAATCTTTTTTTTTTGTTTTGTTTTTTTTTTTTTTTTTTTTCCCCTTTAATAAAACAAAGCTTGACAAATCAAGGTTAAAGCCCCAAAATATTGTGAATGGCTACATTGTCATAGCTGTTTGTATTGCCCTAGATAACATGGCTGGAAAACACATGTTATGTGGTAGTAAATATATCAAGCTCACTTATAGGTGGGCTGTGGCTGGCATGCTTATCTTGGAAACTTAAGTTTTTGTTGGTAGATGTTTTAAAAATGTACTAAGCCTGGTTTAATAATTGTGCTAATGCACTGCAAACGGCATTGTACTTAAATAGGAATTTTTTTTTTTTTTTTTTTTTTAAACAATGATGTTCACCCTGTACAAGGCCCAAGAGCCATTCGAGGTAGAGGGTTACAGAATAAGAAGGCACCATTAAATGCATAGCAATAATGCCACCAAGATGTAAGGGGTCATTGAAAGTGAAAGAAGTAAAACTTTAGAAATCTGAAACCCAAACCTAAACAGGAAACTAAGAAAAAACCTCTACTCCTGTTCAAAAAAACAGGGAGGAGTGTATTAGGGAATTACTTTTTCTTGGGACTATATTTTCAAGCTTTCTAAGATCAATGGTTAAAAATGGCTTTGAGCGAAAGAAGCCTATAGGTCTTGGAGACCACGCTTCTTTGAACCTTGTAGACTGGCGCTACAGAGTCGTAAATAAAGAGCTGTACCAAATAACAGAAATCACACCACTTGAGGTATTTCAACCGCAGAAAATGGATATAACATAACTTGAAGAGAAAATAATGACATAATCAAGATATTTACATTGTTTGGACTGTTGCCCTTATCTTTATTGTCATATTCATAGCGTTTCAGCCATTGTACACTCCATCCATCTCCAGGTGATATACGTTGGTATTTCAAACTGAACCCTTTTCGTCTACCAGAGTAGATTGCTTGGACTTTGCCTTTGTGTCTGTGGGTGACTATAAATTAGTATAGGAAATTTTAGTGTTTTTGCAGTAAAAAACACATTGATTTGGAAACTTTCAGTACTTATTGTAGAATTTTTTTTTTTTTTTCTTAAATTTTTGTAAATTTTTTTTTACTCTCATTATTGTCATGAAACATGGCATGTGGAATGAGAACAATGTAAATAGTTACAATACCTCATCTCAGAAATATAGACACATAATGTAGATGTTGACATACCAAACTACTTCAAATAAAAGGTTAGGAAGGAAACTGCCATCAATACTGGAAAGAGCGAAAACAGCTACTGGACTGGAGAAACCATTTTATATATATATATATATATATATATATATATATATATATATATATATATATATACACACACACACACACAATCTCAAAACAATTTTAGATAATCTGACATTTTTGATGTATCGTTTTTTGTTTTGTTTTTTTAATAGGGAAATTTTCAAATTTCAGTAAATATGTGCCCTCCAACAAGAATCTAGCCTGTATCCTACATGGCATAATCATTTGTCCTGACACGCTATGCCATTTAGTTACACAGGAAATGTCTGGTTTGCAAAGGCAAATTACTGTTTTTAAACAACAAATTTCCCATGATTTTTTTTCTCAATCATATCTACTCGAGGCATATCTTAACATAAACAAATGACAGCATGCATTATGAAATGGACTAAGTCCAACAATTATTTTAATATATTTTCCATTTATACATTATTTTTATAGATACAAATATTCAAATAATTTGACTTTGCTAAAAAGACACTAGATGTTATATTTA